CAGATTTCTGATTTAGTTTATTCATATATCGCGAACTTAGTTGTTTCACATCAGGATATTAAATCATCTGCTGAGGACATTATACGATCTTAAACACTTCACTAAGTGATTGACCAGCCGTAGCAGAATGTAGATTCCATACATGATATCCAGATCGAGAACAGATAAACATCAGGAAAATGTCTTTATAAGTGCGAATGATTGGTTTGGATTAATACTAAATATTTCAGGTATCTCTAATAAACTTGATGGAACCATGGTCATCTCTAAGAGAGAAGAATTAGGGCAACATAACCTGCGCTATTAATCTAATTCTCATTCTGTTTCTGTTATTCTTTCCAGAGAAAAGAAAATAATTTTAAATGATTCGTTCTAGTATGCTGTTAGCGACCGAAAACTAGTCCACAAGAGATAACTTGGCTATAGCAAAGCAATATGGCTAAGTCGCCATAAAACGAAAATCGGGAGGAAAACTAGCGAGAGACATTTTTGGCTAACCGCCCTCACCTTGATAATTACAATTCTGGGGGGAAAAGAGGTTATATCAGTACCTTTCGTCTGCCTATACTATTAACAAGGTGATTCTCGAGCATTCCTTAGATTCCTTCACTAGGCGTTTGACTAGGAAACATTTGGGCCCGCAGGATTCGTCTTGTAACTGTCTATTGGTTAAGGTCGCTTCTGGGTCCAACGTAGAGACTGTGGTTGAAACCTAAATCGCAGGTCGTTGCTTAAAAGCACCGTGGAAGTCAACACTTCGGGATTCGGTATACTCGCATAAGTGTGTCGGATAAAAAATCTGTGTGTTGGGTACGTCTGCCGCTACTATAAACTGGGTTATTCGTTAGACTTCTCAACCATTCCTTAGAGTCCTTGACTTGACGTTTGACTAGGAGTCGGTGGGGCCCGCAGGATTCATCTTGTAATTGTCTATTGGTTAAGGTCTCTTCTGGGTCCACGTAGAGGCTGTGGTTGAAACCCAAAACGCAGGTCGTTGCTTAAAAGCACCGTGAAAGTCAATACTTCGGGATACTCGTATAAATGTGCTGGATAAAAAAGTTGTGGGTTGGGTTTAATAGTGATGGATGGAAGGTATTCGATTCATAGTTGAATTTCCTTTCTTTGTCAAGTTATGTTCAGGGTTTACTCTGTTCATACCAGACTTACCACAGTGTGTAAGAATGAAGTCTCGGCTTATTGATGATAGTTTCTGTTGCTGAATCTGCAGAGACCATCAGAGCAGTGTGGTTTTCGAGAAATGCTTCAAGATAATGCCGGAAGATTGGCGGACAGAATACAATGATCCTACAAGGTTCAGAGATTAGATAGCTCAATTATTTAAAGAATGAAATAGAGAAATAGAGCTTTTCAGAAAGCGACAAGAACCATTCAGAAGATATCCAAAGTCTCGATTTGGCGGTTTGATCAATAAGTTACTATTTACAAATATTTATATCAATTACGTCGCCTCTGCTTGTTTTGACCCACCTAAGTCTAACTATTCCAATGAATAGAAACTTTGAAAGTCCTGTGATTTATTAAAGTTTATAATAACTATCCTTAAGTATTGAACATTTTCAGAGAAATTCATTGTACAAGTATGGTTTTGGATTAGTTCTCTTTCTTTGCATCATTTAAAACTGATATCAAGCGCTTTCTGCAAGCTTTCCGATACCGATTATACTATCTACAACCAGTGCCCAATACAGTGCAAATAATATGCCTTATAAAGGACAGTCTCTTGTCGACCATACGGTTATCGATTTTTCAAAAATCTTAATGACTCCAAATGTCATTATCAGATTTACTTTAATCTACCACTTCAACAATTAAATTTTCAATCAATATCACCCACAGTTGTCGAAATTCCCAAAACGAAAAATTTCTTCCTAATAAAAATCACCCTTCTTTTATATTACTACCCCAAAATTTCAATAAGTTCCAAGCGTAATTGCAAATCAAAACACCCTCATTTTAATACAGAAAGTACCTTTTTCTTTTACACTTTGCGCATGATTAGTACCAACTCAACTCAATTTATCACCCTTTTCTAAACTCACTAACATAAACCTTTCTCTCCGAAGAAAGCTAGAGTAGTGTTGGAGGTTGTTAAAGGTTTCCCTCAGACATAATATATTTGATTGTTGTTGTCGTTGTTTTTGCATTATTGCATATTGTTGTTGGTATTTATTTACAATAGCAAAGAATCGTATAGAAAGATATAGTATGTACGAAGAGTTTTCTTTTTCATCGTTATTAAAAAAAATGTATGCAGTATAAACGATTTTGCGCGATCTGTTATGGCCGTCGTAATGACTAAGTGCCAGTGTTGTGGTGGTAATTCACTATGATATTATATATACACACCTCGTTTGTGAGTATTATGCGCTGAGGACAGATATACCGGCCGACCGAACGAACGACTACAACATACTACAACTACACCATTTACAAATGTATTTGGAAAATTTTTTTCTAATTATATTTCTAAAATATAGCTTGCACTCATTCTAATTTGATGTTTGTTCAAAATTGTCATTTTCAAAATTATTTATTTAAAAGTGTTATAGAAGGACGTGCTATAGAAGGACTCTGAAACCATATTTCTTTAATCATTGTTTTTCACTCTTGGAACTACTTCTAAAAAGTACCAAGAACAACCATAGAACTCTTTCTTTTTAGAGATTAGTGACTGAAATTGTATTATACTTTGACTACTTCAACATATCTATCGATACTTGATATTTGAGTTTATCAGGCCGCCCTATAAGTATTTGTCCAATTTTGAGACACTTTTTCGATTATTAAATTTCTGCCTCCAAGGCGACAATTTTTGCGGGTATGTCAAAATAAACTAGTTAATATGCGAGGCCTCACACAAACTAATTAAAAGATGTTGAAACACACGATCTTCGAGGCCAATTAAGGGGTCCATTTCTCTTGATCAAGTTATGGGCCAATTATGATTTCATGATAGCCCGGATTCATAGTTATCCATATTTTCAAACCGAAACTCAAGATGCGGCTATATTTTCGAAAAAAAAGGTCAGATGACATAAGTCTCACTCAATATGCGATTATGTGAGGATTTCGAGATTTAAAAGGGACACTCTGTGCTTCTATTCTTACAGTTTTGGAGAGAACTTCTAATGAATTTAAGGAGTCATTCTCGAGTCAATACAAGTCGTGAAGAAGGCTTGCATCACTATGTCTCGGTCTGAGCAGTTACATTAATGGTGTTGTAGCGATTCTTCTTCGTGCAAGCAATGTGTACAATATTTATTACGTGACCCAATAAGAAAGTCTATCAGAGGCTTTAAGAAATTCTATCAAGAGTGAATACAGTAAAGGGCATTTTCTGCAAAAGAAAATACTATATCCTTTGGATATTCCGGGCCTTTTGAGTTCCAATTCAAGACAAAAGCCGTAAAGAGATGCAGGACTGTCAACTTAGGTCAAGGTCTTGACATTTGGCTCTCAATGTTTCTCGCGGTTAGTTAGTTAGTTAGTTAGTTAGTTAGTTAGTTAGTTAGTTAGTAGTTAGTAGTTAGTTAGTAGTTAGTTAGTTAGTTAGTTAGTTAGTAGTTAGTTAGTTAGTTAGTAGTTAGTTAGTTAGTTAGTTAGTAGTTAGTTAGTTAGTTAGTTAGTAGTTAGTTAGTTAGTTAGTTAGTAGTTAGTTAGTTAGTTAGTTAGTTAGTTAGTTAGTTAGTTAGTTAGTTAGTTAGTTAGTTAGTTAGTTAGTTAGTTAGTTAGTTAGTTAGTTAGTTAGTAGTTAGTTAGTTAGTTAGTTAGTTAGTTAGTTAGTTAGTTAGTTAGTTAGTTAGTTAGTTAGTTAGTTAGTTAGTTAGTTAGTTAGTTAGTTAGTTAGTTAGTTAGTTAGTTAGTTAGTTAGTTAGTTAGTTAGTTAGTTAGTTAGTTAGTTAGTTAGTTAGTTAGTTAGTTAGTTAGTTAGTTAGTTAGTTAGTTAGTTAGTTAGTTAGTTAGTTAGTTAGTTAGTTAGTTAGTTAGTTAGTTAGTTAGTTAGTTAGTTAGTTAGTTAGTTAGTTAGTTAGTTAGTTAGTTAGTTAGTTAGTTAGTTAGTTAGTTAGTTAGTTAGTTAGTTAGTTAGTTAGTTAGTTAGTTAGTTAGTTAGTTAGTTAGTTAGTTAGTTAGTTAGTTAGTTAGTTAGTTAGTTAGTTAGTTAGTTAGTTAGTAGTAGTTAGTTAGTTAGTTAGTAAGTAGTTAGTTAGTTAGTTAGTTAGTTAGTTAGTTAGTGTAGTTAGTAGTTAGTTAGTGAGTTAGTTAGTTATTAGTAGTTAGTTAGTTCGTAGTTAGTAGTTAGTTAGGAGTAGTTAGTTAGTTAGTTAGTAGTAGTTAGTTAGTTAGTTAGTTAGTTAGTTAGTAGTGTTAGTTAGTTAGTTATTAGTAGTTAGTTAGTTAGTTGTTAGGTAGTTAGTTAGTTAGTTAGTTAGTAGTTAGTAGTTAGTTAGTTAGTTAGTAGTTAGTTAGTTAGTTGTTGTTGTAGTTAGATTAGTTAGTTAAGTTAGTTAGTTAGTTATTTAGTTAGTTAGTTATTAGTAGTTAGTTAGTTAGTTGTAGTTAGAGTTAGTTAGTTCGTTCGTTCGTTGAAAGGAGAATGTTTCTTACATCAAATCCGAAAGAAATTAACCTAGACCTCTATCGGGTCTTTCATACGCAGCTTCACCAGTGCCTCTGTTTGGATTCGAACCCATGACCACTGGTCTGATAGGGTAAAACGCTAACTACTAACCTACCGAAGGCACACGTCTCGAGCTTTAGTCCTCGTTAGTTTCTTCCGACCCTAAGGATGATATATATTTAACCCTGAAAAACACATTTGGAAATGGTGTAGTACATGTACGATTGCCACTGAGTGAAACAAAACACAACAACTGTTTTTGTTTGTCTTTGTAGTTGTTGTTCTTGTTGTTGTTGCCTGTGTGTGTTTTTGGTATTTCGATTTTTTAACGTGTTGAGTTATTGGCTAAAGAAACGATCATTCGTCGTCGAGCAGCCAAACGGGCAGATAAACGCGTCGCGGCGTGAAATAATAATTTTTGAGAAAAAAAGGAAAAACAACATTATTTCTAAAAAAAAATATATATTTTTTGTTTTGTTTTAAACAAGGAGAAACAACACAAAAATTTAGTTGTTTTTTTACAACATTTTTCATTATACAAAAAGAAAAATTCGGTGTTTTTTTCAAGTGTAATTAATTAAAGCGTTTTAAAAAAAGGTTTTAATTAACGGTTTTATTAAACAAAAAAAAAGTAAATAAACTCAACTGTCAAACAAAAATAGTGACATTTTAAAATTGCCATTTATAAAACAACATAAAACTAAAACATTTCTTGTAGTAAAACGCGGAAAATTATATTTCATGCTAAACATTAAATTTAAAAAAAAAAATAGCACAAAAATATAAAAATTATTAACATAAAAAAACAGCTTGGAAATATAAAATTAAACATATTTAAAAATTATTTAAACTAAAAATATAAACGTGTGGCATGTGAAAGAAGCAAAAACACGCCAAAGCTGCGTGATCATATAAATTTTTTAATAAATTTCTACAAAAAAAGCAATAAAAACACAAGAAAAGAAAAATTCTTGAAAATTTTTTTTATTAAATTTAAAAAACGGTGATATTATATTTAATAAAATAAAACTAAAAGCTTACAAGTTCCTTAATTATAACATTTTTTTTTAAATTTTTATTAAAAAGAAAAAACTTAAAATATTTAAGGTTAGTATTTGTTAGTGCTTTTTATGTGTTTTATGTTTGTTTGTGTTTGCTGTAATTAACATTTTCAATTTCATTTTCATTTTGCTAATTTTAACTAAAAATTTTAAATTTATAAGACTTTTATTTACTGTTAATTTGTTTATTAATTTGTTTACTTTGCTTTTTTTTTTTGTTAAACAAATTACTTTCTTGCTTTTTTTGTTTATATTTTTCTTTCTTCAAAATAATAATAATAATAATTTGTTCTCTTTCTTTCAATTCTCTTTTTTTTATTTTAGGGTTAAATTTCTAAAGAAACTACAACAACAAACAGCCCTATAAACTGTGATTATTATAAAAATACTTTGTTTTAAAGAATTGTTGTTTTCTTTTAAACTTTATGTTTTCTTTTTATAAATAAGTAACATTATCAATTGTTTGTTGTATAAATATCTCAGCTACTATAACAACAACAACAATTAATACAACAACAGCATCCCTTCAACTCTCTATCTCACTCTCTTTGTCACTATAAGTGACAATAATAATAATAATAAATAATTTTCAACATTAACAGTAAATTAAAACGTCAATCAAAATGATTTCACACAGTCCACCCATCTTTAGTCATAGTCCACCAGTTAGTTTCCTAGCAGACTTCATGAATAATCGTCAAAGTATAAAGTGAGTATCAAAACCAAAAGCTATAACAATTTACTAATAACAATAACAAAACAAAAATTTTTTACTAATAATCGTTTAATATTTAAAGATTTATATAAAATATTTGTTATTTGTTTAAATAAAAAAGTGTAAATGAAAACATAACTTGTTTTAAAAGTGTTATCGTTAAATTACCATCTCTAATTGTTTGTTTACAAATTGCAATGATAACATATGTTTATCATTAATGATGCCAAATATTTTGTTTACATTTGACGAAACTCCTAGATTTAAAACATTGCATTTTCCCAAATTTGATATTATATTTTAAAATATTTTTAGAATTTTAACATTTATAAAGATTTCAGAAATTTTTAGTCTTATTTTCTGTGTTTTAATTTTCTAGAAAATTTTATTACATATTTAAAAAATTTATGTTTGATTTTCAAAAATTTAACTTTTTATTGCAAAATTTTCTATTCTTCTTGATTCACAATAAAACATCATTTAAATACAAAATTTTGAAACCAAATTAAAAAATTTTGAAAAAAAAACAAAATATTTTGCAATAAAATTGAAAATTCTCAAATACGAGTAAAAGTTTCCGAAATTTCTGGAATTTAAATTAAAAGTTCTGGATTACAAATTAAATGTACATAAATATAAATGAATATTCCAGAAATATATTAAATTAGTTCTGAAATTACAAATAGAAAACGAAATTCGGAAATTTCGAAAATTCAAGTAGTTTGAGAAATTCGAATAGAAATTTAGAGAAATACAATTGGAAGAAAGAAAATACTTGACGAATATATGAAATTGATTTCGAAATCATGGGCCGATGAAGAAATGCATTCTGGATGTCAAATTAAGAGCACCTTTTCCTGCATTGCTGGCCGTATATCAAGAATAACAAGAACAAGATTTTGACCTCCAAGGTGTCATTTTTAGCAGTATATACTAGTAACTTTACGCAACCCCAAAGGAAATAAGCGAGAGGTGTCAAAACACACGACTTTGGAGGTCAATTGGCAGGTGCATTGCTTGAAATTAAAAGAAAACTTAAGTCTCATCGCTCGAAACAACTTTGCGATAATCGATTTTTAAAATAAAATTGGGTAATTTGATCATAAATATCAATAAGTGGGCGCAATTAACTAATTCGTTTGACATCGTTAGAATCGGGGTTTAAAAGTACATAATAATAATTTTAGTTCTAGAACAGGTTCAGATTCTTACGCAGCACTCCTAGAGCTATTGACCCGTTCTATAAAACATTATTTGGATTAAAAAGTAATTCGATACATGACATTACCCTTTTTTAGGTCCCTGCGCGTAGGGACTATTATGGAAATTAGCAGGCAGTTGAGCTTGCCAGAACAGGATCTCCAACGCCTTTTCAGTAGCAACCCCGTTAGGATTTTTCAAGAGTAGTATTCTCAGATTCTATCTTCAAAAGGCTGAAAATAGGTGGAATAACTTGGATACATGGGAAGGGCCAAGATATTGTGTCGCTCCTTCAATGAGAAACGCACAAGACTCCTTATATATATACGGTATATATTGATAGCAGTAATAACAGGACACTGGCTGCTAGGCAGACATGCAAGACGGCTTGGCCTACCCTTCAATGAACACTGTCGCAGTTGCAAAGACAGGGAAAAGATCTTCCATATTATCTGCCAATGCCCTGCTTTATCCGTTACTTCATATCTAACCTTGGTGAGATATCTGGATCTAAGCTTAATGATATCCTAAGATTTCTCACTGCTACAGGCTGGATCTAATGCTATGCAATAATACATCAGACAAATGGACCGGCCAAAACTGAGTCTCTTCGATTCTACTTGACTGTTCGCGCGCAGAAAACTACCACGTTCACGTTCACTTATAGTTGTACCAGTTCCGAAACATATTCTTGGAACCAGATGAAAAAAATATTAAAATTCTAAGTCAATTAGTAGCAGCGTCTAAACTTAAGTATCGGGAATTTATCGATATTGATTATAATCTTTACAATGATTAAGAAACGAACTAGTTTGAGAGCCGTTCCCTTAAAAACTCTCAAAAGCTTTCCTGCAACAAGTTTCAAAGGGAAACAATTTCGAATAGAAATCATAATGCTTAAAGAACCGGCTCCAAAATCGTTCGAACGAATGTCTACTCTAAGACGTTGCCACAGAAATAGTTCTAAAGGTGACTGGACTTGGAACCATTGCGAGCTTAAAGATTTATTATAAAAATTTATTGCATGTTCTTAAGATATTCTATCGCTAACACCAACGTTATCACGAATCACTAAAAATGACAACAAAATTCCAAACTCCATCGATTCTAGGGATGAGTAATAACATAAAGCGATAACAGAACTAAAAAAAAACATATGTATTTCAATGGAAAAATTATGAAAACAATACTGTTATTATTGTTATTTATAACAGAACACACTTGAAACTCGTTTAACGTCAGTTATACTCAAAGTTATTTATCTCCTAAAATGTATAGATTTAAAAAAAAATCAAAACTTTTTAAAAAGATTAAAAATAGAAATCTATCTTTATATTCATTATTAAATCAGGAATAATTCTTAAACATAATGCAAATGTATATTCGTATAAGTGATCATATTTAGTGATCCCTATATAAAGATCTTTTATACGAGCTTTGATCTTTAGTATTACAATTTTATTTTCAATTAATTAATTCTTAATCATATTTCAAATGTTTCAATTGTCATAATGAACTGATCCTCTTTAGTGATCCCTATATAATTAATGATCTTTTGTTCAATTTTCGCCATAATCGTTTAAAATGTTATCGGTATATTACTTTTTACATTCATTCTCAAAAAAAATATTCTTTTATATTAATAAATTACAATAATTTAAAAAAATCTCCAAACATTTTAACCGGCACTTGACATAATTGTAGACATTTGCCAAAAACAAAATTGTTGTTTGTTTATCAATTACCTTCAAATAAGGTCAATTGCTAAAAAAGCACTATAAACGGGCAACAAATTGTATATGTTTTCAACAATTTCTTTCTATTAGATAATGGCAATCAATAAATTTTAAAAACCAAAAAAAGAAAAGAAATATTTTTAGATAAGATTGAGCAAAGAAAAAAATAATGTATGGATCACGTTTTAAACGGTTGGTTTTTCTAAATACTTTTTAAAAGAATTTAATAACAATTGTTATTTAATTTATTTTTTTATTAAACAATGAAAAATTTAATAATATTAAACTTCTTGAACTGAAAACGAAAGTGATAAAAAGAAATTTTAAAAACAAATATGATAACAACTATTTAAAAATGATAAAATATCAGTTTGTATTTTGAAATTAACGTCAGTTACGTTTGTTTAAAATAGAAATTGAAAGAAAATTATCTCTTCTGGGGATTTAAGTGGTCAAAACAAAACTATTAAGAAATTAAAACAAGTGTTTAGGTAGAATAATATACCTGGAAACACAAATTGTTTACTAATTACAATCCTGTTTTAGGGTTAGTTTTAAATTTAGTTATAGTTTAACTTTATCCTTAATCTCTGGTTAAAACCATAAAAGATTAACTAATGTGTAACTAATTTTTGTGTAAAATGTCCAACAGTAAAAGGCTCAGTTAGTTTATACGTTACATTCCGTGATGAATCAGCTGATTCGTTTTTGTCTTTGGGAAACATGTGTTTGACCGTGAGTTTGCCTTATTGTTGTTTGAATTCCAATTCTAAAGCATAGCGCCGCAGAGCAGAGATACAAGCCGAGACGGCTCAAATCGGCGGCGGCTGGCCGCCGGTAATATTTTGCAAGCTGCGGCGCAGAGAGACCGGCAGATACGCTCTTGTTGAGAGAATCGTCGACGATCGTATTGTGTACATGTAAATAGCCGAAAATCTTCGCGTTTCAGGCCACCAGTTCTAGGGTATGTGATACTAATTAAACGATTTGAATTCGTTTGAATTAAAAGTGTATGATCAGTTTCGATCGTGATTAAATTAGGTTTCAATGGAGAACCACACAATTATGTGTATATTCACAAGACCACAGCTGATTAAAAGTGTGTTCTCAGTTAAATACAATCTGTTCCGAGACAATGCCTCCAATATAGAATCATTAGATCCATTCGCTCTTAATATATACTTTTATCGACTTTTTCCAACTAATTTGCACTTTAAGTTAGTCGTTTATTCGACTTTTTTCGTAAAAGATAGTCGACTTATTGACTTTGTTAGGACAATGTTGTCGAGTTCGAAATTTTCGACTTTTCGAACATTTTTTTTTAATATGTATTGACTTTTTGCCAAAAAAAATGAAATTTTTCTTACTAGTTGGACGACTAGTCGACTTTTTAAGCACTGAAATATATTTTTTAATCAAAATCAAGAAGTCTTTTACTCAAAATATTGGAAAATATTTCTTGAAATTAAGATTTTTGTTTAAACCTTCTTTTGAAATTTAGAATATTTTAAATATGGTTCTATAGTTGAAACAAAATGTCGACTTTTGCAATTTATGAAAAGTCGACTTTTTGATCTTTTATAAATATCATATTTTGATCAATTTGATCGATTATTCGACTTTTTCTTATGACTTCTCATGATTTACCGAATTTGTTAGAACAAAAGAGTTGAGTTCGACTTAGGATTATATAGTTCAAATAAAAGGTCGACTTTCACCATTTATAAATAGTAGATCTTTTGACTTTTTACAAGTTTTAAAATTAAAGACTTTTCGAACTATTTTTCATTTTGAATCTTCAACTTTTATCTAAAAAATCGTTTATTCGACTTTTTTCTTATAATTTAGTAGACTTTCGACTTTATTATGACAAAATTGTTGACTTTTCGGGTTTATAATGACAGGGACGTGCCCTAATCTAACCTTCTTTTAACATTTAGAACGTTTTAAATATAGTTCTATAGTTAAAACAAAATGTCGACTTTTGCAATTTATGAAAAGTCGACTTTTTGATCATTTATTAATATCAAATTTGTATTAATTTGATCGATTATTCGTCTTTTTCTTATGACTTCTCATGATTTATCGAATTAGTTAGAACAAATGAGTTGAGTTTGACTTATGATTATATAATTCAAATAAAAGGTCGACTTTCCGAATTTTAACAACTTATGAAGAGTAGATCTTTTGACTTTTTACAAGTTTTAAAATTAACGACTTTTCGAACTTTTTTTTGATTTTGAATATTCAACTTATATCTAAAAATTCGTTTATTCAACTTTTTTCTTAAAATTAAGACGACTTTCGACTTTATTATGACCAAATTGTTGACTTTTCGTTTTTATAGTGACGAGTCAATAGAAAATCGATTTATTAAATTCTACTTTAACTTTCCCACAAAAAAGTCGATTGATCTAAAGTCGATTTACAGAACTTTAGTTTTAAGGTTAAGTTCAATAATTTTCAAACTCATCAGCTTTATATCTTTAAAATATTGAATAAATTTAAAAAATAGCAAAAAAAAATTATCATATTTAAAGTTTTGAAATATTTAAGGTTCAATTTAACAATCCTCCAATCTTCGTTCTTTAAACATTTAATAAAATTTGAAGTTTAAGGTTAAAAATATTGAAATTTTTTTTAAAGTTTTGAAATGTTTAAGGTTAAGGTCAAACCCCTTAAACATAGTTCTTTAAAATTTCAAATAAAATTTAAACTTCAAGTTTTTTTTTAAATATTTAATAAAAGTGTTTTGTTTACAAAATTATTTATATCTAAATATTAACTGTTTTTAAATTAAAATATTTTTTATTATTAAGTACATGTGATTTTCAAGTACACATGAGTTTCAATAAAAAAACCCGGCCATTTCAGCAATTATTTGGCAAAAAAATAAATCATTAAATTATCGATCACGTAGATCAAAATGTTGCAAACAACAAGAGAGAAAAACACAGTTTCAGGCTAAAATAAAATTTTGAAGATTAATTAAGATTATAAAGCTTTAAAACTTATAAAAATCAAACAATTTTAAAAACTTTTTAAAAGCATGATATATGAAACAAATCGGATTATATTAAACTCTGCGAAATTTTTATTTAATTGCAACAACATTGTATGGAACCACACGATCCACAAAAACCATATGACAATATTTTTTAGTGAATTAACGTCATTTCCGCAGGCGCCATTTTGCTCTAAAAACTAACAAACCACATTTCAAATATAACTCTTGGCATTTATCTTAGAAATCTATCAAAAAATGCAATAAAATTAAAATAAATAAACACAGCAACTACCACAACAACAACAACAAATAATTCCTTGTTTATCTATAAATTAAACTAAATAACATTTGATATGAACAATTGCCAAAATATAATTGCAAATATGTATCATTTAAAAATATTTTCAAATTTAAATGGAGAAAGAAATCTTTTTTTATTTCGCATTTCTTTCAAAAACAAACAACTTCCATCAGTTTGCTCATAATTTTATTAAATAATTTATTATATTTATGTAGATCATAAGAAAAACACGAATAGGCAGGCACACGCTTGCCCCTGAAAGAATATGACGTATGTAGCTTTTTAAATGTCGTCAACTCTAGTGTTTAGGCGATTTGTTGCAAAATATATGTATATTTAATAATGTGTGTTTTCTGCAAGATTTTACTAAAAATAAATTTTCTTCGTTAGAGATGATTTGTTTTAGTTTTGTGTGTGTGGGAATTGAAAAGAAAAAGTTAATTCATAATATTCGCCTTGATCTTGAAGATCTTTTTTTTTTTTGTTATGCTGCAAATTGTTTACTGAATGACACAATGCAAATAGTGAAAAAGCAACGCAAATTTGTTTGGCTATTGTTTAGAAATAAATACATATTTTTTAATTATTTTTTGCATATTTCTTAAAATCTTGGGGGTGTTTAATTAGCCCTGCAGATCACCGTATGGCGTGGTCAACTGATCTAGTTTTTAGGTTTCGATTTTGATCATAAATTTCACTTCAAGTTCATAGTTAAGTTCTAGTTCAGTTCTAGTTCAGTTCTAGTTCAGTTCTAGTTCAGTTCTAGTTCAGTTCTAGTTCAGTTCTAGTCAGTTCTAGTTCAGTTCTAGTTCAGTTCTAGTTCTGTTCTAGTTCAGTTCTAGTTCAGTTCTAGTTCAGTTCTAGTTCAGTTCTAGTTCAGTTCTAGTTCAGTTCTAGTTCAGTTCTAGTTCAGTTCTAGTTCAGTTCTAGTTCAGTTCTAGTTCAGTTCTAGTTCAGTTCTAGTTCAGTTCTAGTTCAGTTCAGTTCTAGTTCAGTTCAGTTCTAGTTCAGTTCTAGTTCAGTTCTAGTTCAGTTCTAGTTCAGTTCTAGTTCAGTTCTAGTTCAGTTCTAGTTCAGTTCTAGTTCAGTTCTAGTTCAGTTCTAGTTCAGTTCTAGTTCAGTTCTAGTTCAGTTCTAGTTCAGTTCTAGTTCAGTTCTAGTTCAGTTCTCGTTCAGTTCTAGTTCAGTTCTAGTTCAGTTCTAGTTCAGTTCTAGTTACAGTTCTAGTTCAGTTCAGTTCAGTTCTCGTTCAGTTCTAGTTCAGTTCTAGTTCAGTTCTAGTTCAGTTCTAGTTCAGTTCTAGTTCAGTTCTAGTTCAGTTCTAGTTCAGTTCTAGTTCAGTTCTAGTTCAGTTTCTAGTTCAGTTCTAGTTCAGTTCTAGTTCTAGTTCAGTTCTAGTTCAGTTCTAGTTCAGTTCTAGTTCAGTTAGTTTAGTTCTAGTTTAGTTCTAGTTCAGTTCTAGTTCAGTTCTAGTTCAGTTCGTTCTAGTTTAGTTCTAGTTCAGTTCTAGTTCAGTTCTAGTTCAGTTCTAGTCAGTTCTAGTTCAGTTCTAGTTCAGTTCTAGTTCAGTTCTAGGTTCAGTTCTAGTTCAAGTTCTAGTTCAGTTCTAGTTCAGTTCTAGTTCAGTTTCTAGTTTAGTTTCTAGTTCAGTTCTAGTTCAGTTCTAGTTTCGTTCTGTTCTACTTCTGTTCTACTTCTGTTCTAGTTCTGTTCTACTTCTGTTCTACTTCTGTTCTAGTTCAGTTCTATTTCCGTAAACGGACATATAAAGAGAGGAATCTAAAATTGCACTTCCATTTAAATAACTACCCACTTTAGAACCCACATAAATGTAATCCAATACTCTACTTAGAGATGGTAAACGATTAGAGATGATAAAATAACGATAATTTTTCTATATCTAATCTTTAACAAGACAAAAAATATAAAAAATTATGAAAAAATAAAAAATGTTAAGAAAAAATCACAACAACTGGATTTTTTAAAAATAAATCTACCTAAATGAATAACGCAAACAACTAAGCGCTTAGCAACAGAAAAAAAAAACCGAAAATAAAAAATAAATTTAAATCTATTTCTAAGAAATAAAGAAAAGAATCAACATACTTAAGATCTCCACACAATTGGGTTCTTTATTTCTATATTCTCCCACTTTAATGAAATTAAACACACAACTAGAATTTAAGAAAAAAAAAATTTCATAAATTTTTACTAAATACTTAATTGGAATCAATTTACTGACAATAATAATAAACACACGCATAAATTTACAATTTATAAAAAAATATTAATTAATTTATGTTTTCTTTTCTTTCCACTTGCAGTTGTAATGATGAACATAATCGTGCCTCACGCTATTGCCGTCCTCAAGTTATAACTTTAGCCTCCAAGGCCATGGTCAATAATGCTCAACAGCGTGCCACTAGTCCAAATTTTGGTTCAACCAATACTATCACCAGTAATAATCGTTTGATTAACAACAACAATTTTAATAACGCTTTCAATCAGTTCAGCAGCAATACAACTAATAATAACAGTTCAAATACCGCACCCGATATGGGTCGTCGTTTAGAACGTATGGTCTCAGCACCATTGCTGCAAGCACAACCTAAATCATGTTTACGCCGTAAATCCTGCCTACATAAATCTACCGCCGATTCAGTTGAGGTTACAGATAAAAATACCGATACGGATAGTGTTTGTACGGATCAGAAGAGGTAAGAAATGATTTTTATATAGACTTTTTCTTCGAAATTTTGAATAGAAAATTTTAGGTTTAATCTTAGGGTTTTGAAACAATATTACTTTTTCAAATTTTTTAAAATTACATCCTTTTTTTAATCTTATATAAAATTTCGTCTCTAGAGGTTGTTTAGTCTAAAATCGACCAAGTTTTAGGATTTTAATTTGTTTAATTAAATTGTACTTTAATTATTGTTTTCAATGTTTAATTAACTATTCTGTAAATTATTCATTTTACTAGATGATTTGTAACTTTGTAATTTCAAAATTTATGATTTGCGGTTTTTGTCTAAGTTTACATTTGAAATTGGATTGTGGGTACGTCACTGAGGTTTCTAATTTTGTAATTTAAATTGTGTTAAACACTAGTTTACTGATTTCTTTTAATAAAGTATTATTTTCATTACGTAATAAGTCTAGCTTTTATGTTATAGTTAAAATTTTGACAATTGTAATTTAAAAAATAATTGATGAAATTTTCATTTGATATTGAACATATGTAGGTCTCAAAAACCTAAACAGAAACAGTTCTAGTTCAATTCTAGTTTAGTTCTAGTTCAGGTCTAGTACAGTTCTAGTTCAGTTCTAATTCAGTTCTAGTTCAGTTCTAGTTCAGTTCTAGTTCAGTTCTAGTTCAGTTCTAGTTCAGTTCTAGTTCAGTTCTAGTTCAGTTCTAGTTCAGTTCTAGTTCAGTTCTAGTTCAGTTCTAGTTCAGTTCTAGTTCAGTTCTAGTTCAGTTCTAGTTCAGTTCTAGTTCAGTTCTAGTTCTGTTCTAGTTCAGTTCTAGTTCAGTTCAGTTCTAGTTCAGTGCTAGTTCAGTTCTAGTTCAGTTCTAGTTCAGTTCTAGTTCAGTTCTAGTTCAGTTCTAGTTCAGTTCTAGTTCAGTTATAGTTCAGTTCTAGTTCAGTTCTAGTTCTAGTTCAGTTCTAGTTCTAGCTCAGTTCTAGCTCAGTTCTAGCTCAGTTCTAGTTCAGTTCTAGTTCAGTTCTAGTTCAGTTCTAGTTCAGTTCTAGTTCAGTTCTAGTTCAGTTCTAGTTCAGTTCTAATTCAGTTCTAGTTCAGTTCTAGTTCTAGTTCTAGTTCAGTTCTAGTTCAGTTCTAGTTCAGTTCTAGTTCAGTTCTAGTTCAGTTCTAGTTCAGTTCTAGTTCAGTTCTAGTTCAGTTCTAGTTCAGTTCTAGTTCAGTTCTAGTTCAGTTCTAGTTCAGTTCTAGTTCAGTTCTAGTTCAGTTCTAGTTCAGTTCTAGTTCAGTTCTAGTTCAGTTCTAGTTCAGTTCTAGTTCAGTTCTAGTTCAGTTCTAGTTCAGAAAGTTTGGGAACACTCCCGATAATTTTGCGGATAAGAACCCAGTATAGAAAAGTTAGATAAAATTTCCATTATTTTTATATATTTTTTTATTATTTAAAAACAAACTGAAAAAATCATGCAAAAATATGACCATGAAATTATTATTAATTGTTTTTGCCAAAAAAGAAAAATTGTTTCATTTGGAATTTTTTTCCAAAAACACATGCTGTTGAGATTTTTATAAAAAAACAAGTTTTTGCAATTCAGAAAAAAATAATGTTTTTGTCATTATTACCTTAGGGTAAATTTAAATTCGTATTTTATTTGTTTTTATTAATTTAAAAAAAAGTTAACTTTCAACATTTAAAGACAAACACCCATAGAATCGGGTTTAAATGATAGATTATATAACAATTGAGTTATATTTAGATATGGCATGAAAAATTTCAAAGTTTGAAAGACAATAGCTCTCACTCCCTATTCTAATTTTTATGTTATTGTAATTGTTTCTGTTATAGGAATTGGTCCCTTTCATGTAACTCGAGTTAGTAATCGAGCCAACAACTACTAAAAGGAACCTCTCATTAACTCTTTCTCAGTCGATCTTTAGTCCTTCTATCCATATAATGTTTCCACAAGAACAATTAAGCAGATGACAATGTCAAATTTTAAGAGATTGTCTTCCGGAATATATCCGTCTTAAGTCAAATATTATAAACTTTGTTGAAAAGTACATATAAAATTTGTGAAAGTGTTTTTAAACAATTTTTATAAATTGTTTTTTAAACCTGATTGAGTTTCAATCAGGTTTTTTTTTCATTCTATAATATTTTATTAAACTAAATGCGAAATTACTTAATGGCGCCACTTGAAATTCAGTTTCATCATAAATCCCCATATTAAAATGTAACCTATATATTTAAGTTAATAACAATAAAAAGCTGATATTATTAAATAATAATAAATTAATTATTCAATAAACAAATAAATTTTTCTTTTTACATTTTATACGTTCGTTATCTTATTACATGATCTATGAATTTATTCATAAAGTACGAAATAATTGAAATTTAAAACGTATAAATTTCACTTTTCAACAGGAAAACAATTTTCAAAAGATAAAAAAAACAGCAAACGAATGTACGTTACGTTTGTCTAACTTTAAACAGTAAAATTTACTATTTATAAAACTATAAAAATAATAATAATTAAAACAAATAAAAGAAAGTACAAGTATGTAATGGATTTTAGTGTTTTTAAAATTTGTATATTTATTTACAAATAAATAAATATACAATAAATACCCAAAACAATTAAACACTTACTTTCAAATACAAGTGTTATTGTATAGACAAATACTTGGTAAATACTCTGAAACATTTATAGTCTAGACATTAGACATGGTGTCTGTTGATAAAATGAAATTAAACTAATAGTTTTACAATACCCTAAAAGATTACAACACTGAAATGACTTGTATATTTTCAGTTTCATTCTTAAATTTTTTAAACTCACACACACACCCCTACAAGCTACACGCACTGTCACTGACAGCGGGGAGTATGTTCAGAGTTGTAAGTGTTTAATTACTTTTTCAAGTAAGAGTAACAATAAGTAAATAACATTGTCGTAAGTGTAATCACTTGAAAAATGTAGTTTTTGGGAAGCATAGATGTTCCATGTTATGAAACAATGTTTACCATATATTGTCTTTGACAGATAATAGAAATTTGTTATGTCTAGTTCAAAAACTAGGCTATCATCTTTTGGAAACTATGTTATCAAGATCAGAAGACTGTATCTAACTAACAAAAAATTATTATTTTGATGTTAACATACTACCTTACAGTATTCAATTGAACAAGTCCCAAGACTGGTGTCACTTGATCTCTCCAAAATTCACAAAGTTCTAGTTCAGTTCTAGTTTAGTTCTAGTTCAGTTCTAGTTCAATTCTAGTTCAGTTCTAGTTCAGTTCTAGTTCAGTTCTAGTTCAGTTCTAGTTCAGTTCTAGTTCAGTTCTAGTTCAGTTCTAGTTCAGTTCTAGTTTAGTTCTAGTTTAGTTCTAGTTCAGTTCTAGTTTAGTTCTAGTTCAGTTCTAGTTCAGTTCTAGTTCAGTTCTAGTTCAGTTCTAGTTCAGTTATAGTTCAGTTCTAGTTCAGTTCTAGTTCAGTTCTAGTTCAGTTCTAGTTCAGTTCTAATTCAGTTCTAGTTCAGTTCTAGTTCAGTTCTAGTTCAGTTCTAGTTCAGTTCTAGTTCAGTTCTAATTTAGTTCTAGTTCAGTTCTAGTTCAGTTCTAGTTCAGTTCTAGTTCAGTTCTAGTTCAGTTCTAGTTCAGTTCTAGTTCAGTTCTAGTTCAGTTCTAGTTCAGTTCTAGTACAGTTCTAGTTCAGTTCTAGTTCAGTTTGTTTTAGTTCAGTTCTAGTTCAGTTCTAGTTCAGTTCTATAGTTCAGTTCTAGTTCAGTTCTAGTTCAGTTCTAGTTCAGTTCTAGTTCAGTTCTAGTTCAGTTCTAGTTCAGTTCTAGTTCAGTTCTAGTTCAGTTCTAGTTCAGTTCTAGTTCAGTTCTAGTTCAGTTCTAGTTCAGTTCTAGTTCAGTTCTAGTTCAGTTCTAGTTCAGTTCTAGTTCAGTTCTAGTTCAGTTCTAGTTCAGTTCTAGTTCAGTTCTAGTTCAGTTCTAGTTCAGTTCTAGTTCAGTTCTAGTTCAGTTCTAGTTCAGTTCTGGTTCAGTTCTAGTTCAGTTCTGGTTCAGTTCTAGTTCAGTTCTGGTTCAGTTCTGGTTCAGTTCTAGTTCAGTTCTGGTTCAGTTCTAGTTCAGTTCTAATGGAAATCGGAATATCTATAAAGCTCTATAGAATCAGTTACTAGACATGTATCGTTCTTAAAGGTGTTGACAATCTGCCAGGAAAGAGGTTTTGGCCACAGTTTAATTGTAACAAGTTTAAAAATCTATAGTAAATGTTTGGGAAATCGTGTTCCATTTGACTTTAACAGTTGTCAAATTCTTTTAATACTTATAAATCAATATTTGACGCTGATATCTTGAAAACAAGACGACACAACTAATAATTATGTTAAGAGAAATCCGTCTAGAAAATGTAATAATAATTCATAAAAAATAACCATACACAATTCGCCTTGGACTTCATCTCATATGATTTCGCCTTGATCGCATATAAAACCAACTTCACATTATCAAAATTTAATCCCTGACCTAAAAACATTAAAAGTTTCCAAACAATCTTCAAATTTTCTAAATTAAATTTTAACTTGTAATTAATTTCCTACTTTTTTTCGATATTTTAAAATTAAAATATCGAATCTAAACACTTTACTATTAAAAAAAATTCAATACAGTATGATTTAGGTGATGAAATTTTCGTATTTGTATCTATTCCGCTAGAAATGTTCAATTTTAAAATTAAACAGTTTATTTTTGTCATACAAAAAATAAAACTAAATTAAAAACAAATACACAAAGTTCTTAAAAAAAAATTAAATAAAAAATAAAAAAAATAAAATTAAAATGTTGCCCAAACGATCTTATGCTGATCACGTGAAGAGAACGTGAATGTATCTTAGATATAAATATCTCTAAAAATAAAAAAATATTCGAAAAAAAATAAAACTTATGATTTTATTTTTCTACACACACCATGAGTGAGTGAATGAGTGAGTGGTGGTGACTGCTT